AAAGAGTAAATCATTGAGGCATAAGACTGTTTTTCGGAATTTTATCGCAGAGTTGAAAATGATACCGAGGAGCTAAGATTGCCTTTTGCTTTTTCCTCAGCGGTGGTTTTTCACCTCATCTCTTTTTGTCATAAACTTCGTAACACCTGTACAAATTTTATGTTCTGACACTTTTCTTGGTGAATTTTGATACAAGAACAATGCACAGTAATAACTGCATTAAGTAATGCGATCAAAGAGTTGAATGCATCCCGAAAAACTGCCCGCAATAAGAATGGGAAGAGACTGCGACGAACGATCACTTCGGACCGCTCATTGCTCTGGGACAAATTGCCAATACCGTATGCAATCAACACTAACAGTGGCGGCAAGTATTTTTCTTCATAGTTTTAACAGCTAGAAGCACATTTTTTTATCTTGCTGAATGATGCTTCAGGAAGAAAATAACTGCTCAGATGCCCTTAAAAGGCTAGTAAAACCGCTGATAAGTTAGAATAAAAGAGCTAAATCTAGCTAATGGTTTTTTTGCACAAGTTGGGCGAGTCAAGAACCGGTAATTGGTGGCCGACTTTCTAAGGAGAGCAACGTGAACCAGCAATAAGTAGTGGGTTTTTCGATAACTTATTGTTCAGGCGAACAAATGTGCTAAATTGTGGTGACCACAGTCATTCTCCCGCGAATTTGCTGTGTCAGAAGGGTACAAAGAAACTTTGTAGTGCTAAATCGATGGTTTTGGCAGAAGTTTTGAACAAAACTGTTTTCAACTAAGGGAGTGAAAGTAAACAAGTGGAAGGAGAAGATGAAAATGATTTTAGTGAACGAGACAGCAATTAGTGCCGGTATCAAACACTGGGAGGAGAGCACCTGTATCATTTTCCAGCGCGTCAGCCCCGAGTTGAAAATCACTCCACTCATTGAATTTATCAAAGGAGATGGGTAAGATTTCACATTACAGATATTAATTTAATTCAAAATCCCAAATTTAGTAACGCTGAAAAAAGTGCATGACCCTTCAGCGAATTGCGAATTGCTCTAAGAAATCGGGCCTAACAGGCGTTTCTGCGACTGGCTGCTACGAGATCAGTGCTGGTGAATGCGAAAAAAGTTCCTTTCCAGGTTAAGACGGTTATTTAGCTTGTTTGTCGGATCTTAACAGACGCTTAGATGCTGATAAAGAGGCGAGATATTACATTTGCATATTGCCAAATCGCAATGTATTCACATCCTCCTGTGCCCTAGCGCTCAACGTTAGGGCACAGGAGAATGTGAAAACTAAGCGAATTTATATTTCTCGAAGTGCGTATTTAACTTCTTAACTACTGTATTTCTGAAGTTGGATAATCGAGTTAAGCAGCAGCTGTTGTTTCACGTAAACATATGGACAAACACAATCACACAAATACATCATACATCGACACGTACATATGCACAAATATGCACACAGATACGCGCATGTACATTCACACAAATAAATCAACAGACACACGAACGCATATACAGGCATATGCTTACACGCCTGCATATCTGCACTACACATACGTAGCTCCATACACCATGT